TACTCCTGCTTAACGCTCAGCAAATTAGGAGTGGGACGACTGGTTCGCCCGTTGTCAGTATAATGTGACCGGGTGGGGCGTCCTGCTGGGTGTCTTCGGCAGTATGTTTCAGTGAGGTAGCACTATAAAGTCAGCATCAGTTCCGCGCTATCACAAGGAGACAAACACGAACATATTGCAGCCTCCCAAAATACACACACATACACTACACGCATGCCTCTTGCACACAGGGGAGGCCGTCCTTAAATGACCTTAGCTGTTAATAGGACGTTAAACAAAATCAAACAAACAAACAAACAAACAAACATTCCAGTAAACGAAAACAGTAAAAGACCAAAACATGATTAATGCTGGTCAGACTGACATTCCAGTGATGAAAACAGTAAAAGACCAAAACATGATTAATGCTGGTCAGACTGACATTCCAGTAAACGAAAACAGTAAAAGACTGATTGTGGCAACACTCCTTGGAGGACATATATTCCTTTGTTCTTAAAATTCAACACTCAAAGAATCAGAACTCTGACTTACACAAACCACTATTTGACCAGTTTTCATCTTCGTTTTCATTATAAAGAAGTATTTGCATTTGTATTTTTATTTTCAGATATTTTTTTCCATCAAACTGTTTTTTCGATATGGCTAAATAAAAGCCCAATTCTGCACTACATATACAATATCAGTGTTCCCCATTACATAGATATGTATGTAATTCACATAAACAATGAAGAAATCATGCATGAAATTTTGAATTTGTACGTATGTTGCACATGAAGAAAAAGACGTCAAATGGCACGTAAAGAAAGTTTAAAATATATGTAAAAGTCTTAGCTTCTCAATATATAATTTGCAATTTCTGACGATAGATATATATAGTGTCTGGCGTAATCTCCAGTCATTCGATGTGGGTACATTGATCAACCGACCATGATCTCTGCGCGCTAAATTCAGAACTCCAAATATATATAAGTCAATCAGAAGAGTGGTTTCAGAAGTCAACAGCGGTTATTTCCAAACACTGAATAATGTTGTCGTTATCATGGATAGTCTCGTTCAACGAGAGGCTCTGTTTGTCGTAGCTTGCGCAGACAACAAGAGTTTGGGTGAATGAGACTACGGCATGGTAGGCATAATTTCGGACGGGACGGGACCAAAACTCAGGACAGACTCAATTATTAATCAATCAATACAAACTACTAATGTCCCTTCAAATATATTGTTGTTCTTTTTAAGTGTCTTATTTCTGTAACTTTGAGCGTCTTGCGTGAATTCATTTCGTCCCAATAAGTCATATCCGTTGATAATAAAATTAGAGTCGAACAAAATCATACTAGTAAAACTGATGTACAAGACTTAAAAAAAAAGTTTGCACTGAAATAAATGCCTTGTTATTATTTTGCATTTACACTTGATAAAAAAAAAATCGTAGTAAAACTTTTAAAACAATTTTGCATCGAAATGCTATGCTACAAAAAAACAAAACCATATTAAGTTTGTATTAATATGCCTCGTTTTTTTTCAATTTTACAAAATCAGTTTCTGATTAATGTAGATTGATACAGTTGACAAGTGTATGTCAGTGAAATTATAATATACATTTCTGATTAAGAGGGACAATTTATGACAAAGTACCACACTGATTTTTGGACTAAAAAAATACCCCAGAATGCACCAGAGCTTCCAGATTTCTAAAAAAATCCAGGGTTGACCCCCCCCCACACCCCTAAATTGAGAGGGGGAAAATGATGTAGACCCCAAAGTGTATAACTTACACGAGATCTGGGGTCATTAAACCAAAATGAAGCAATGCATACAAAATAATACATCAATTTTATTTCAAAGATTTTATACGACAATCCAACTAAAAATTCTGGGACTTAAAACCTGATATTATACACGAATATTCAGATGTGGACCAAAATAAAATGTGACATACTGCAGCCCCTGAGGTTGTGATGTAGATCCCTCAGTGTATACGTACCACGAAGTAGCCTCTTATGTTTCGGAGAAGGATGTCCCAGTTATGTAGTCGTGCATCAACATCGTCTACCTGGCGATTCACACTCTGGTTGGTGGGACGTGGATCACTGCAAATGTCAACACGTAAATGGTCACATAGATACAGGTATAGCCAGTAACATAGTAAATGGTCACATACATACAGGTATAGCCAGTAACATAGTAAATGGTCACATACATACAGGTATAGCCAGTAACATAGTAAATGGTCACATACATACAGGTATAGCCAGTAACATAGTAAATGGTCACATACATACAGGTATAGCCAGTAACATAGTAAATGGTCACATACATACAGGTATAGCCAGTAACATAGTAAATGGTCACATACATACAGGTATAGCCAGTAACATAGTAAATGGTCACATACATACAGGTATAGCCAGTAACATAGTAAATGGTCACATACATACAGGTATAGCCAGTAACATAGTAAATGGTCACATACATACAGGTATAGCCAGTAACATAGTAAATGGTCACATACATACAGGTATAGCCAGTAACATAGTAAATGGTCACATACATACAGGTATAGCCAGTAACATAGTAAATGGTCACATACATACAGGTATAGCCAGTAACATAGTAAATGGTCACATACATACAGGTATAGCCAGTAACATAGTAAATGGTCACATACATACAGGTATAGCCAGTAACATAGTAAATGGTCACATACATACAGGTATAGCCAGTAACATAGTAAATGGTCACATACATACAGGTATAGCCAGTAACATAGTAAATGGTCACATACATACAGGTATAGCCAGTAACATAGTAAATGGTCACATACATACAGGTATAGCCAGTAACATAGTAAATGGTCACATACATACAGGTATAGCCAGTAACATAGTAAATGGTCACATACATACAGGTATAGCCAGTAACATAGTAAATGGTCACATACATACAGGTATAGCCAGTAACATAGTAAATGGTCACATACATACAGGTATAGCCAGTAACATAGTAAATGGTCACATACATACAGGTATAGCCAGTAACATAGTAAATGGTCACATACATACAGGTATAGCCAGTAACATAGTAAATGGTCACATACATACAGGTATAGCCAGTAACATAGTAAATGGTCACATACATACAGGTATAGCCAGTAACATAGTAAATGGTCACATACATACAGGTATAGCCAGTAACATAGTAAATGGTCACATACATACAGGTATAGCCAGTAACATAGTAAATGGTCACATACATACAGGTATAGCCAGTAACATAGTAAATGGTCACATACATACAGGTATAGCCAGTAACATAGTAAATGGTCACATACATACAGGTATAGCCAGTAACATAGTAAATGGTCACATACATACAGGTATAGCCAGTAACATAGTAAATGGTCACATACATACAGGTATAGCCAGTAACATAGTAAATGGTCACATACATACAGGTATAGCCAGTAACATAGTAAATGGTCACATACATACAGGTATAGCCAGTAACATAGTAAATGGTCACATACATACAGGTATAGCCAGTAACATAGTAAATGGTCACATACATACAGGTATAGCCAGTAACAAAGTAAATGGTCACATACATACAGGTATAGCCAGTAACAGAGTAAATGGTCACATACATGTATAGCCAGTAACATAGTAAATGGTCACATACATACAGGTATAGCAAGTAACATAGTAAATGGTCACATACATACAGGTATAGCCAGTAACAGAGTAAATGGTCACAAACATGTATAGTCAGTAACATAGTAAATGGTCACATACATACAGGTATAGCCAGTAACATAGTAAATGGTCACATACATACAGGTATAGCCAGTAACGTAGTAAACCAAATGATCAGGTGATCAAATTGGACATTAAACAAACATTTTAGACAGGGTAACATTCAATGTTTAAAAAAACAACTTGTTGCTATTTGACAGTAGCATTACTATTAATCCTATACATGTATGTGTACATATTGCAGCACACTTGATATGGTAATAGGGTACATCATAAATATGTATCTATGAATGTGGGGATTACGGAAATTCAAGGGCACAATTTGAAGTGAGAATCGAGTCATGCTGATATTCGGACCAATACAAATTTCAACTGTATATCATATTGCTTTGGAAGCAGACAACTGTATATCATATTGTTTTTGAAGCAGACAACTGTACATGTATACCATATTGTTTTGGAAGCAGACAACTGTATACCACATTGCTTTGGAAGCACACAACTGTATACCATATTGCTTTGGAAGCAGACAACTGTATACCATATTGTTTTGGAAGCAGACAACTGTATATCATATTGTTTTGGAAGCAGACAACTGTTTACCATATTGTTTTGGAAGCAGACAAATGTATATCATATTGATTTGGAAGCAGACAACTGTATACCATATTGTTTTGGAAGCAGACAACTGTATACCATATTGCTTTGGAAGCAGACAAATGTTTATCATATTGCTTTGGAAGCAGACAGATGTATACCATATTGTTTTGGAAGCAGACAGACAACTGTATACCATATTGTTTTGGAAGCAGACAACTGTATACCATATTGTTTTGGAAGCAGACAAATGTATATCATATTGCTTTGGAAGCAGACAACTGTATACAATATTGTTTTGGAAGCAGACATCTGTATACCATATTGCTTTGGAAGCAGACAACTGTATACCATATTGATGTGAGGCAGACAAAGTTCATCGATACCATGATGAAAAAACATGCACAGGACAAATCAATGGTGTTTATTATATCGTGCAATAACTGTTGCTGACTTGATCAAGCGCATAATAGGATTCCATAAATAATTACAGTCATTGATTATAATACACAAGCGTTTCCGTCTCTACTAGTTCTACAATGTAGGTCACAATCGACATGCATGTCAAAGTATCTAAGGTCACAATCGACATGCATGTCAAAGTATTTAAGGTCACAATTGACATGCATGGTCAAGTATTCAAGGTCACAATTGACATGCATGGCAAAGTATTTAAGGTCACAATTGACATGCATGTCAAAGTATTTAAGGTCACAATTGACATGCATGGCAAAGTATTTAAGGTCACAATTGACATGCATGTCAAAGGATTTAAGGTCACAATTGACATGCATGGCAAAGTATTTAAGGTCA